CACAGAACAGTTACCAAAATCAGGAAATTTAACACTGATGCAATACTATTATATAATCCCCCGTTGGGTGGATAGTTCTTATTTAAATGAAATTGCAATCATACCACCTTGTTATAACTTCTTTTCAGTTAACACCAAATCATGAATATTTAATAGTTTCATTAAGCAGCCTTCAAAAACATTTTTTAACCAATCTGTATGATTTTATTGGATGGCTATTGATTTCCAGTTTTCCCCTCTTCTAATGAGATGAAATGGCCATTTTTATCATAAATCTGGGCCACGTTTCTGATTCTTTTCTAAGACTTGATTCCTAGAAATAGAAGAGCTGAGTCAAACAATGAGGACTTTTTAAAGGCTCTTGTGAAATTGCTGTCCAGAAAGGTTGTACCAATTACCAGGACTTTGTGGCTTGGTTGCATTTTTCTGGGGGGAGGACAGACAGTGCACAGGAGGGGTAACCAGCATCAGGACCCAGCCTGCAGCCAGATGGCCTTTCCGACAGGCCAGCACGCAGGAACTGGACAGGAGGCAGCTCACACTGATATTTTATTCATCCTCTGGCTTTTGCTTCTTTTCTGGAGCAAACTGCAGCAGAGCACAAAATGTAAAGGGTCTTTTATACTTTTTCTTTTTTTTAATAAGAAGTTGAGGCTTTTGTTGCATGGGCGAATAGCAGGCTGTCTTCTGTGTGGGAAAGGCTGTTTCTCTCCTCTGTTGAGGTGTGCTCACAGTGCTATAGTAATTTTTCCAAAATTGGCTACTGAACCCCATTTAATGTCTCAGTTTTTAATAACATAGAAGTGCTCCATCTAGGGTGATAGGTGGCAACCACTGTTTGCTCGATCATAAGAAAAAACCTATAAATAAGAGGCAGTCCTCACGCTGCTAGTCATCTATAAATAGTAGTTTATCTTAGTGATAGTATTAGTCTGCTTGATTCCAGAAATGTCACAAGCACTACCTCACCTGATCCTCAAGCCCACCCATTTTGTAAAAGAAACCGAGACTAAAGGTATGTAACTGGCCCGTGCTCACACAGTTTGCACGTGGTACAAGGTGTGAATTCAGGTGAATTCCTACCAAGTGTGTACTCTCTCCACGACCTTGATTGCTACTTCTGGGAGTCTTAGGAACTTACAGAGAAGCACTTGATGAGAAAGGCAACAAATATTAATAATGCAAATAATACAATGATAGTATGGGAAATCTGGGTAGCAGAATGTGTCCCAACACAAATTGTCTAGGTAAGCACTTCGACTGCCATCTGGTAGCACTGCAGGCAGGGGCTGCCATTGCTGGTCTTAAAGCCCTTGAGGAAGTCAGCTTCCTGCATGTGTAACGATCTCTCCTTCACCCTGCCTTGTCCCCTCCTGCCCTCCCGGCACCCCAGTGATCACTTCCTCCTCCACCCGGGAGTACACGGTGACAGAGCCCGAGCGAGACGGAGCTGCCCCTTCGCACACCTACACCTACCAGTGGCGCCAGACCATCACCTTCCAAGACTGTGTCCACGACAACTCGAGGCCAGCCCTGCCGAGCACCCAGCAGCTGTCAGTGGACAGCGTGTTTGTCCTGTACAATGAGGACGAGAGGATCTTGCGCTACGCGCTCAGCAACTCCATCGGGCCCGTGCGGGGTAAGGGGACCGAGCACACGCCAGGCCTGTCTGGGCACGTGCACTTTTTGTTTGTTTGTTTGTTTTGTTTTGCTCCAAACCTGGGATCGAACTGTGCGCGTGCATTTTGAATGCATGTATTTTTTTCAGTTCTTTGTGGTTCTCTCTGCATGTCCAAGTCACTTGTTTAGCTGATCCGTCTGTGCTTTCTTTAAGCCTGTAAAGCAGAAGCAAGGTAAGTGGTGTTCTCCCTTCTTTGACAACTGTGGCTCTAATCAAGGGTCAGCACATTTATTCTTCAAAGACCAGATAGTAGATATTGCAGGCATCGCCAGCCATATGGCTTCTGTCATGACATCTCAGTTCTGCCATGGTAGCACAGAAGTAGCCATAAACTATATGTAAGTGTGTGGCTGGTTGCCAATAATACTTTATTGACAAAAACAAGGAAGGGGCCAGAGGGGTGTAGTCTGCCAGTCTTGCACCAGGATGACACGGAGTCCACTGGTTTCCCTTTCCTCCCCGCTCTTCTGCGATCACCTTGTGGCTTCCTTTCTATGGAAGGAGGAAACCAGCCAGAGTTTCCGAAGACTCACTTGGTTCCTCTGTCTCTGCCTTTCTAGACGGCTCCCCTGATGCCCTTCAGAATCCTTGCTACATCGGCACACATGGATGTGACACCAACGCCGCCTGTCGGCCCGGGCCCGGGACCCAGTTCACCTGCGAGTGCTCCATCGGCTTCCGAGGAGATGGGCGAATCTGCTATGGTACAGCCTTCGATTCTGACTTGTGGGGCAGGTGGGGGGCTGGAAGTCAGGCTAGGAAGAAGCTTCCAGATTCATAAGCCAGAGAGCTGGGTGTGGAGAGGAAGCACAGGTGACATAAAAACCAATGGCCATGGCACGCCTGGATTGTTTATGCCATGCATTCGCTGTTCCCTCCATAAGGGCAGGGCTCCTGCCCCCTTCTTTCATCTGATGTAAGCAGCAGGGTAGACAGAACTCCTGATGCCCTGTTCCACTCCATGCTCAGAGTGCACAGGTGCTGAGGGACTCGAAGGTCAGAGGTGTCTATGATAACACTAGTGATGTAACCACAGCTGGGATTCACCCAGGTACTGTTGACGTTAAATGCTTTCCCAAACACCATCTCAATTAATTCCCCATCAACTCTACTGAGGTAGATTCCTTCATTCCTGTCTTTTAAAAAATTATGTTTCATAGTGGTAAAATACACATAATGTACAATTTACCATCTTGACCATTTTTGAGTGTTCCAGTTGTATAACATGCACGCTGTTGTACAATCGTCACCTCCATCCCTCTCTTTTTATTTTGCAAAACTGAAACCCTCTACCCACTCAACACTAACTCTCCATCCCCTCTCCCCCCAGCCCCTGGCACCCATGTTCTACTTTCTGTCTCTATGGATTTGATTACTGTCAGGATCTCCTATGAGTGGAATCATACAGTATTTGTCCTTTTGTGACTGGCTTATTGCATATAGCATAATGTCCTCAAGGGTCACCCGTGGTGTAGCATATATCAGCATTTTCCGTCTTTTTAAGGCTGAATCATATTCTGTTGTGTGTATATGCCACATTTTGTTTATCCATTCATCCATCTGTGGACACTTGGGTTGCTTCCACCTCTTGGCTGTTGTGAATAATGCTGCTCTGAGCATGGGTGTCCAGATATCTGTTGAAGTCCGTGCTTTTGATTATCTCAGATTATTTTTCAGTTATTTTGGTTATACCCCAAAGCAGGATTGCTGGATCATATGCTAATTCTATGTTTAATTTTTTGGGACTCACCATACTATTTTCCATAGCAGCTTCCAACCCATACCCACCAACAGCACCCGAAGGTTCCAATTTCTCCACATCCTCGCCAACACTTGTTAGTTTCTGTTTTTTCATAGCAGTCATCCTGATGGGTGCGAGGTTTATTCCTCTTATTACAGATGAGAAAACTGAGGCTCCTTACAGTGAGCCAGTGATGGACAATGTTTGAACTCATGTCTCTGACTCAAACATCTGTAAACTCTATCTTCTTGTTGTACTTATTTTATTACTTGCAATTTAATTTTGAATACTTTCATGTGGTCAGGTTGATATTTATAGTTTGTTACTAAATTTTAATTCACTACCAAGGACAAGAATTCAATTGCTTTAACCAGTGCTACCTAAATCTGCAGCAGAGGGCTGGCCAGTGAGCGTAAGGAAGGACAGAGGAAGTTTCCTGGTGGAATTAGTTGTGTGGTCACCTACAGTTGGCCAGATAGATGGGCAGCTCCCTCTACCCTTGCTTGACTCAGGTATAAGAATCAAGCAAGCCCAGCAGCCTCAGAATTTCAGAATAATGTCTTAGATTTGGAATCCAACATCCCCAACCAATGGCGGATTTGGCATGCTGATTTAATGCAAAGGTTGGCAGATTCTGCTGTGTGTGGAGATACCCCAGCCTGCTAATTCCACTCTTGGTGCCTGAGCTTGTCATAATGGGTGCACTTCACTTTAGAAGGCACAACCATCCAGCCAGACTTTACATAATCTGTTGCTATCATAGAAAATCCTTAGATGTCCTTGCCCAGGAAGACAGGTGGCCGGGTGCGGACTTGCTTTTGTCCTGTGGTTAGACATTGTTCTGGCACATTGGCTCCGTGGAATGTGGGCATGTTCCCAGCCAGGCTATTTATTGTTCTGGGTCACTAGAACATGCCTCAAAGTGTTAATGCATCGAGACACGAGGCTTTAGCAGGAAATTGCATTAAGCAGATCACTTCATGTGAGATTTTGAGCTGGAAAGTGCCTGAGAGCTGAATGCGGATGGGACTTCGTAATTCGGTGTGTGTAGCATGGACCTAATGACATGCGGCATCCCGTGAGAGATTGGTTTTGGTTAGACATCACACAATGAACCTCCAATGTAATTTGGAGGTTTCCAGTTGAATCACGGAGCTCTGTGATTCACGCCTTGGCGCATCACAGAATAGCTCCCAGGTATTTCTCAATCTGGAGCCTGTAATCTCTCACTGAGTCATTTTTGAGTATGTAGAAGACATTCAACAAATCAAAAATGATCCTCTTCTCTCCTCCTCAAAGAGCCTTTGTAAAAGGAACAAATGGGAGAAACAGAGTCATTGAAAATACGTGAGAAGTAGCCACTCTGAAAAAAATAAAATCAAAACAGTAATTACAAAAAACATCCAGGATTTTCTTATTAGGTTAGGGAGTAATTATGTGGAGAGATCACGTTTCAGAGAAGAGGTTGACCAGATGTCGACTAGTAAGAATAGTCATCTTTGAGCACACATTGTGGCTGTTTATGAGAGTCAGTGATCACCAGTTTAGTATTTCCACTAAAGAGAGGATTAAGGTTCTGACCTCAATTTACAGAAGACAGGATTTAAATTACACATTAGGAAGAATATCCAAACTGCAAGGACCATGCAACATTAGCAGGGAAATTGCTGGGGCCTTGTCTCTGCAGAAAGAGTGTCCATCCAGGCTGGCTTGCACATGTAGCCGTGCCTGGAGGTGGAGGTTGTGCCAGGGGACTGTCCCCCCGCTGCCTCATCCAACCAGCCCCAAGATCCTATTTGCCAGTGGTTCTCTTGATAGGGCCTGAGAGAAGAGCCTGATCCCCTAAGAAGCTTTTCAAAACACACAGCTTCCCTTTCCGTAAATGTTCCCAGGGGGCCGGCCCAGTGGCGCACTGCGCTCAAACTGCAAGGACCATGCAACATTAGCAGGGAAATTGCTGGGGCCTTGTCTCTGCAGAAAGGGTGTCCATCCAGGCTGGCTTGCACATGTAGCTGTGCCTGGAGGTGGAGGTTGTGCCAGGGGACTGTCCCCCCGCTGCCTCATCCAACCAGCCCCAAGACCCTATTTGCCAGTGGTTCTCTTGATAGGGCCTGAGAGAAGAGCCTGATCCCCTAAGAAGCTTTTCAAAACACACAGCTTCCCTTTCCGTAAATGTTCCCAGGGGGCCGGCCCAGTGGCGCACTGCGCTAGTGCACCACTTGGGAAGCGCGGCGGCGCTCCCGCCGAGGGTTCGGATCCCACATACAGACCGGTTCCCGCTCACTGGCTGAGCGAGGCGCGGGGGCAGCACCGAGGGTTGCGATCCCGTTGCCGGTCCCGGTCCGGTACGGGCGCGACACTGAGGGTTGCGATCCGTTGCCAGACACGGAAAAAGACAAAAAAAAAAAAAAAAAAAAAAATGTTCCCAGGGAGGCGTGGAGCTTGGAAAGGTTCCCCTTGGTGACTCTGCTCTGTCTTCTTGATTGAAAACTGCTGCTCTTTGCTCGGCTTTGGCAGCTGCATGTGAGCAGTGCAGTCAGTATGATGCATCCAGATCTCTGCTGGGAGTGTCCTCTGAGAGTGTGGATGCAGAAACGACCTTTTCTCTCCCATGTTGTGGGAGCTGCCGCTGGTAGATGGAGCTGTGACATCCACACCACCACCACTGCCCCCAGTCCCCAGCTCCAGCTTGTGGAAGAGGCTGCTTTGGGAGGGGCTTTGTTCTGTAACCTTCCAGCAGTGCCCGGCACAGTCCTCTTGTCTGAGGTCTTGCATCTTAAACCCTTCACAGAAACACACATTTCAGTATATCTTCAGAAAGTTAAATACCATTTGGTTTGGGTTTTTGCCTGGGTGCAGGAAAGACAGTGCGGCGGCAGTGCAAGAATCCCTGTCTCGTGTGACGTTGTCCAATAATCCAGCAGGGCATCTGTCCCACCCATGACAGGGCTGGCCTGACTGGCCATTGGAAGTAGACACAGGAGGTTTTGTCTTCCAAGAGTGAAAGATTCAGGGGCCGGCCCGGTGGCGCACTTGGTAGAGTGCAGCGCTTGGGAGCGCGGCGGCCCTCCCGCCGAGGGTTCGGATCCCATATAGAGACCGGTCTGCTCACTGGTTGAGCGTGGTGCGGGCGCGACACCGAGGGTTGCGATCCCGTTGCCGGTCATGGTACGGGCGCGACACTGAG